GGGTGTTTGTCAGTCCAAATGGCATCACAACGTACTCATAATGACCTTTGTGCGTCTAGAAAGCAGTCTTCTGTATGTCTTTTCCCTTCATCCTTATTTGATGATACACCGACTTCAAATATAGCTTGGAAAAAATTTGTGCAGATCCCAATTCATTTAATAATTCATCGATCATGGGCATGGGAAACTTGTCTGGCATATTGATCTTATTCAGGGTTCGATAATCCCCACAGAACCTTCACTCCTTTCTTTTTCACTAGAAGGTTGAGGCTGCTATAGGGGCTAGTACTGGGCCGGATTATCCCAGTACTTAGAAGATGCTTAACAATGTTTTCAATTTCATTTATGATATCGGTAGGGTCTAATGTTGGGTACTATAGCTTCCTCTGTGATTTGGATGGCATGGTCGCAACTTCTGTGAGGGGGCAATCCCTTAGGAGTCTGAAATACCTGGGGAAATTCTACTAGGACCCTTTCTCATTCCTCTCCCACTTCAAGATTTGTTTGTTGATCAGTATTCATGTTCTCAAAGTTCAGGTAATACCCTTCCCCTTGATTTTCTAATACTTTGCGTAATGTCTTCCAGGATGCCATAGATCTACTTAAGGATGGATCTCCCTTCAAACTCCTCTTTTGCCCATCGTCTACCAATTGGATGTATAGTTTTCCAGAATCCGCTTCAACATTACCCAAGCTAGCCAACCACTCCATTCCCAAGATCATATCAGTCCCTCCTAATTCCAGGATATAATAGTCCTGAGTGATCATTAACCTCGAACCCATATTTGTAGATTTTCACATTTACCCTTGTTAATGTGCTCTCCATTTCCCATTTCCACCTGGAATTCGGCCGTTTGAATATAAGGTAGTTCTAGGTCTGAAACCAATCTGTGCGATATGAAATTATGTGTGGCTTCTAAATCCAAGAGAATGTCTACGGGTTGATCTCCTTCCTGGCTACTTAACTTCCCCATAACCTTCAAGGTTCGTTGGGTTGTTATCCCTCCCTTGCTCATGCTTGATAGTTGCATAGTCATATACTCTCCCTCGGATCCCACCTCTTCTGCTTCAGTCAACGGCTTGTCCTTCTCTGCAGCTTCTGAGGCTTCTGTTAAAATCAGCTGATAGTTCTTCATTTTGCACACATGCTCCTGTTCCACTTGTCCCCACATTTGAAACACAAACCCTTCTGAGTTCTTTCTAGCAACTCCTCTTGGTTCAGCCTTTGTCCTTTTTCCAGGTATTAGTGAATCCGGGTTGCTCTCCTGTCTTGTATCTGTCACACCCTTTGAAGCAGTTGGGTTAGTAGAATAGGTTCTCCCCCGAGGGTCTTAACCCCGGTGTATGGATTTAGCCTAAGTTCCCCTTTGTCTTTCCAGCCTCTCTTATCATCTTCTCTGTTTTTTGTTGTCCTTACTGCAGCGTTTTTATCCTCCAGTAACAGGGCACGATCCATCATTTCAGATAGGGGTCCTGACGGATACAATTTCAGCTCGGCTCTAACTTCATCCCACAGTCCATTCATGAAGATCCCTTTCAACATTTCCATATCCGTATTTCTCATGGGGCGAGTACTGATTCAAATTTCTCCCTGTAATCAATTACGCTCCCAGTCTGTTTTATACTCAACAAGGGTCCATACGGGTTTTGCACTAGGTCTGGCTGGAATCTTCCGATAAGAGCTTTCTTAAAAGGTTCCCGGCTCCTATAATAAGTGTGGCCCTCCCACCACTGGAACCAATTGAGGGCTTTACCCTCCATAGCCACCAACACCACATCTAGTCGCTCTTCTTCAGGAATTTCGTTCAATCTAAAAAAACGTTCCACTCGGACCAACCAACCGTAGGCATCATCGCCATTGAACATCAGAAGATCTATTTTCCTTCCGGTTTGATGGTGACATCTCATCTTCGACGTGTCATAAACAACGGAGGATACCTGTGTCGTTCGCGACTCGTCACGAGTGCGGGAGCTCTCATGCTTCTCAAAGGAAGGCTGCCGTCGAACAGTTCTGGAACGTTCTCTGGTGTGATGGCGTTCATGTTGCAGTAGCAAATTCCGCATGTCCTATGTTCTTCGATAATCCTGGTGCTGCCACATGTTCCGCATCTCCTCCATCATGTTATTCATCTGTTCGACCATCATGTCGCTGAGTTCTGTGACCGCGCGCTCCATAGTATCCACCTGATGCTCCATCTGTGATCGGGTGAAGGGCATCCACAGTCTCAAGAGTCATTATGCTCTGATACCAATGATAGAACACGCGCACTCCAGCTCAAATAGATGATATATTAGGTAAATGGGTTTAGTACAGAGACATAGAAATCTGGAAGACAACAATGGAAGGGAAAACGAAATACTTGCAGAACAAGGAAATGCAGTAAAAAGGTGAGACCATTCCAGAGGGTCTCTCTCTCCTATTTCCAACCGACTGCCAAACTAATTACCTATCTCCTCCTGCGCCTTGCTTTATTCTTCTGCTCTTCAGGTCTACTACCCAATCAGTTGATTGATTCTCCGCTTCTCCCTTCAGAATTATCAAAGACTCTTCTACCCTCTTCTTATCCTTCTAGGGTAAACCTTTGTGAATTCCCTATTAGGATTTATGTTAAGTATACCGGGGCACATATCAATTAGTAACTACCGCTAACCTCTACAAACTATGATCGTAAACCCTACGATTAAATATAGAAACGGTCACTCTAAGAGGAGCAACACGAATAGCTAACCATGAGATGGGCTTAACACAACTATAACTAGTCATATAGATCTTCATACTTCTAACAACATAATAACTAGCTATACTACCAGTCACCCTCACAAATCTTGTACCCAAAAAACCCCTCACAAATCTAGCAACATAGACTTCAACCAATAAATCAGCAACAAAATAAAACACATAACTAAAATAAAACAATAAAAAATATAACTTCCGATTTGAACTCCACACAGCTATACTGTAGCAGCATCCTAATTTATTATATCATTTTACATATCAGAATTTTAATAAATTCTCATACAAAATAGAACAATGGGGTTGACAAAAATTGGCACAAATTATTATAATGACTTTGTGCATATTTATTGTGACATAAGAACTTTGGAAATGGATTTTGGCGCAAAAGTCACAAGGATCCGTGAATCTGTAGCAGTCGTTATCCAAATCTATGATAAAAACCTAGTAGCAGTCGCTTTGTCTCGAGATATTTGACACAAATACATGGAAAAAGTTTATGCCAATATGTGATTAGTATGTGCCAAAACTCCTATCTTTTTATAGTGTTTGTATTAAGTTTTGAGATTCAATATTACTTTTCTATGAAGTCTTGTGATTCAGTATTACTTTCATGTAGTTTCTAAATATGTAACATTCAATTATTTATACTAATTTAGATATTATTAGTAAAAAGTTAATTTTATCCTCAATTATGCATAATACCTGAAATGTAGATTTCATTTAAAGATGGAAGATGTAAAAATTACCACAAACTAGTTCATATAACCTGATCTTTATCTTGTATTTTATAGAAAAAAATCTGAAACAAATTCATTTTATATTGATTCTAGGGGAATTTGACTTTGCACCCCATTTTTTGGGTTATATTGGACTTTGCACCTCAATTTAAAAAAACTTTGACTTTGCACCCAATTTCACTTAAAATCCTTTGACTTTGCATGACATTCAGAAATTTTTTTCACAAAATGTTGTGTGATGGGGTGCAAAATCAAAGTTTTTTTCAAGATTGGGTGCAGAATCCAGTATCACCAAAAAGTGTGATGCAAAGACAAATTCTTCCTTGATTCTATATAACAACAACCGAGACCAAAATAACATCAATTGGGCACGAGGGTTTCAATAAAAATGCATTTTTCTTATTCAACATTCATTTAAGAATTAATACTATTCAACCGAATTAGAAGCGGGGCAGCAGTCTATAACCTAAATACTATTAAGACATGTTTACTTCACAATTTACTAAGCGGTGCTTATTCAGACTTGGGTTAATAAGTGACGCATAAAATAAAAAGTGTTATAAGCTCATATTAAATTCGCAAGATTTAAGACACCGCTTAACATTAAAATGTCCAAATCACCCTACACAAATAGACACACAAACATTCATGTATACACAAGTATGTATAATACGTGGGGGCCTACCCCTACCCCTGCCCATCCCCGTACCCCTACCCCTCGACACTCAACCCGACCCCAGTACCCCTAAACTTGTACCCCTACTCCCACCTAAGTCGGGGCGGAGCCAGGGCACTGGGCCAGACTGGGCCGGTACAAAGAATATTATTGGGAAAAAAATTACACAAAATTTTTACACTAAAAATATTGGCATTTTATAAATTCGGGGTGGGCCAGGGCATAGCCTGGACACCCCTAGCTCCGCCCCTGCACCTAACCTCGTACCCCTACTCCCACCTAACCTCGTACCCCCACCCTACACCTACCCCTACCCCCACCCTACACCTACACCTACCCCTACCCCCACTCAACACCTACCCCTGTACCTGTACCCCCATCCCACCTCTTTCCCCCTACCCGACCCTACCCCTACCCGCTACCTCTCCCCGAACCCCGTTACCCCTACCCCTGCCCCTACCGCATAGGGGGTGTTGTGGTGGGTGGGTATAGGGGGCAGAGGCACATGGGGTAGTAGGGGTAGGTTTAAGGATGAGGGGTAAAAGTAAGTGCGGAAATTATAAAAACTTAAAGTGTCGTATAATTATTACATAGGGTGGGATGCTTAATGAGTGTCACTTTAAACAGTTGCTTAGGTTAGTAAGAAGCTTTTTAAGACTTTACTTCACTTGTCTTACTAACTTAAGTATGGTTTAGCGGTGAAGTAAACACGTCTTAAGTGTTTTTCGGGACCAAAAGGGGCGCGTGCTTGCCCCCCATGCCCCTGGCCCCTACTGAGGGTTAAGAGTACAAAGCATGTACACTACCAGTCTACCAGGCTAATTTTAAAGATGGAATAAAGAATTACTACCGCATATTGAGGAGACCTATGCGAACTAGAAGTCGCACATTCACTGTTCATATCAAAGCCAAATGCATGTAAAGGAGGATGGGAGGTACTGGTCTTGTCGACCTTTCCCTCATAGTGGAGATGTTCACTGTCACTAGAAGAATCCAACACCACTGGATTCATTTTCCCTGTACTCTCTGGTAAGCCACCTGTGATGTATCTAGGAATATTTCCGTCATTTTCCGCGTCAGTGTCACCTAGATCATCCTTATCCAGAATATCAGCCAGAGTACAACAAACCTCTGATTCTATGGCTTTCAGATCATCCCAATCCTCCGTGTCTTGCATTGAATCGGCCAAAGCGGCAAGAAAATCGTCGCCAAAGTGTTCAACGGTGATGAAATCCTTTCCATCCTCACCTTCAGAAACAAAGAGCATGGTAAAATTTAGAAATCACGATTGGAATGTTTAAGAAGAAAAACAGTACGGATATAGTAAACGTTAGGTTTACCGTAAAGTTCAATTATGCGATCCAAACACTTATTGGCGGAGTCTTCGTGGAATCCGAAATCAATAGCTAAGCTTATGAGCCTTGCTTTGTCCAGATCCAAATCCAAATCCCGGTCCTCGTTGGGTTCGGGTTCCGGTTCACCAATCTCTGCTTTCCGTGTCCGTCTCCGCAGTGGCAGGCGGAGAGCATTTTTGCGCGCTTTCATTTTTCTCTTTTTTGAACTGCCGCCAAAATGGATGGCAAGCAGAGGAGAGGGGTCTGTCTATATAGAAAAGTATGGCTGTGTGCTTGCTTTCCCCCTTCCACGTGATGGATGGTGCACTCTTTTTTATATGGGCCGGGCCACGGTAAAACAGGGATAAGGAGTACTAAATTAAATTCACAGTTACAAAATTAAATAAATACAAATATCCAAATCACCATCATTATTATTATTATTATTATTATTATTATTATTATTATTATTATTATTATTATTATTATTATTATAGCAAGACAAGACAATAGGTGTAATTAGGAGTTACTTTGGTGCCGCAAGAAGTGTGTAAGAATTTTGGAAGAAGAAGAATTGAGCTTGGCCTGATTTTGGGTGGGAGAAATTAAATCAAAGAATCCATCTCATGAGCCACGGTGGGAGCAACAATGGAACTGCTGGAGGCGTTGAGAAAATTCGAGGGCTGGAGACATCGGCTGTATAAGAGCATGAGAGGAATTATAAAAAGTACTCCCCTATAATTGTTCCATTTTTCTATTTTTGGATGTTCATTTATTATTGTCTCATACCATATTTGATAACATTTGTGTGGTTCTAATTCATTCTTACTTTATTTCCACTTTATCAATTCATTACCAACCACATAATTCTACTTTTCTTAAAACCCACATCACTCCCTTTCGTACCAATATTAGAGGGCGGAGAGAGTATTTTTTATCTATATCGAAACTTGAGTGTGTAGTTAGCGAAGGAGGGGCTGTATATACAATTAATTCAATTTATTTGCACAAGTTCATTTATTGTTTTATATAGTGAAATAATATTGTGTGAACCCAACCCTCAAATATAGTCTAAATAATAATATGGAGAAATTGAGTAGAAGAAGAAGAATCCATCAACAATCAAGACCGTCTTCAAATCCACCATTTTAAAATCAAGAAATCGACCGACAACAAATTCTTTGTGTCGGCATCCTCGCTTTTATATTTGTGGTCCAAAGCATTTCATAGCTTCTTAGTCGTAGCTAATTTGCTATAAACGTCGTACAAAGCATCATGCAGCCCGTTCAACACATAGTTTCGGCAAAGAAAGTCTGAATGCTTCCATGCCTCAACCGCGTTGAGAGATTGTGCATCTACCTCACCCCCGGTTACTACCGGCGCGTCTTTGGTCAAGAACCTAGCAAGACCGAGAGTAGTGAGATAGAAGAGCATCTTTTGCTGCCACCTCTTGAAGTTTAACCCATTAAATTTTTCAGGTTTCTCCACAGAGTTGCTCGTCACGGTAACCATAGGGATTGCCCCTTGATTGCCCAAAGCAGATGCTCCGCGTTGTGAACTATTGTTCACCGGAGCTCCGCTTTTAGAGTGAGTGTCGTTAGACACGTTCTGCCCACCAACATTCTGAATTTCTTGAGAAGTCATTTTCGTTTTCTTAAGTTTTCCGAAAACGCAAAAAAATTAAGTTCGTTCACCTCAGTGACAAACTACGTTTTAAGATTGTTGGGTGCGTTTCGAAAAACAAAGAAAATAATTAATAAAAATTAATTAATTAAAATGATTTAATAAAACAGAAAATAGATGAAGCAGAGTTTAGCCAGAGCTCGTGATACGCATGATGTCCTTAAAACGTATTCGTCGCCTCCCACAGTGCTAGGAGCGTTGCAACGACCGTTTCCCAGACAAAAGTTCCGGCGAACGGGAACAGTAGCAAAACACTCAGGAAATTTTCTGAGTAGCTAGAAGTGGTTTTAGAGCTAAAAACTGCGTGCAGATTGCTTGTGAACGTGTAAGAACGTGTGTGTTTTTGCAAAGCACATGCCAGCTATTTATAGGAGAATTTGTGGTGTGTTAACCGAGCTTTAATGAACCTGAACGTTGCACATAAATGTCCAGCACGTTGACCATTGATATGTCAAAAAACTGCCCATTTAATTGCCCCAAAATGACCATTTAATGCAATTTATTAACACATTTTCCAAAAATTCCCCACATGAATGAAAATTGATTTTCGAGACTTAAAAAGACACGAAGATAGGAGGACACGTTGTGTTCACCGGATGATCCCTGCACACGGAGAGGTAGGTATTATCCTTTGAACCTTCCGTTGTAAAGACATGTTTATTTACTGACTGTCTAGTAGACTCGATGTCCTTGAACTATATTGTCGTCGTGTAAACATTGACCTATCTTTACACAAGAACCTTCCAACTTTGTTCCGTTCTCATGGGTGTACCCGTTTTGGCCATGGGTCACTGTCCTGGTTCTGCAAGAGTTTCTAAAGAACTGAGCCTATACAGTTCTCCTTTGAAGCGGCCCTCTTCTCTCACACATAGCTGATTCTTTCACGAGTATCCTGCATACTCTTCCAATGTTATCGAGTATATTAACATTTCAGAATCATTAAAGAAAACATTTTTGCTAACCTCGTGCGGGAGTCACTATTTCAACGAGGAGTGGGTAGGAGTTCGGAACCCCCACAGTGACCATCCTTCGTTCTATAATTTAGTTGTCCTTTTTGAACCTAGGACCAACTAGGGTGGGTATCCACTATAGAACTTTTCAATTCACGGCTTTAGTCCCATTCCTCGTGACAACTTCTCCAACAAATCTCTATCCAATGCCTTGGTTAGCGGATCCGCTATGTTATCCTTTGACTTCACGTAGTCAACAGTGATAACACCCGTTGTTAGGAGTTGTTTAATGGTATTATGTCTACGACGAACGTATCTAGACTTACCATTGTACATATTGCTCCGTATCCATCCAATTGCCGCTTGACAATCGCAATGTATGTGATGGATAAGTGTACCTCGGGGGTATCTATCCGAGGGGTTACTGTGGAGAGTAACTAGAGAGAAGTCAGAGCAAAAGTAAGGGAGAGAATATATATCCATATCAGTTATGAAAAGGGCACACATCAAGTTTTAATTACTTGAAGGTGTGGGGATGTCTAGCTAAAGTAGCTATTCCCAAACCTAAGAGGACAAAACTTGGACCAAAGACCATTGATTATGTCTTTGTCGGATATGCACAAAATAGTAGTGCATATCGTTTTCTTATCCACAAATCCCATAACATGGATATAGTGGCTAATACTTTTATAGAATCTAGAGACGCTACATTTTTTAAGAATGTATTCCCTTTCAAGGGAGATTGTGAAGTTGTCTCCTCCGACATGGGTGTTTTCATTCCAACCTATGTCGAAGAAACAAACTCACATAAGAGGCCTTTTGATTCTATAAAAGATAACAACGAAATAGCGCAAAAATGTGAAGTGGGACGCAGCAAAAGGGCTCGAAAATTGAAAGATTCTGGACCCGATTTTGTTGTATACCTTCTAGACGATGAGCCTCAAACTTATAAGGAAGTCATGTCCTCACCAGACGCTGCCCAATGGCAAGAGGCTATCAAGAGTGAAATTGATTCCATCATGTCTAATCACGTATGGAAAGTTGTAGATTTGCCTCCTCGATCTAAACCTCTAGGATGCAAATGGATCTTCAAAAAGAAAAGAAGAACAGATGGAACAATTGAGAAGTACAAAGCTCGATTGGTTGCCAAAGGATACAACCAAAAGGGAGAGTTTGACTACTTCGATGTCTACTCACCAGTTACAAGAATAACTTCAATTTGAATGCTATTAGCAATAGCTACATTGAGGGGTTTGGAAATCCACCAAATGGATGTAAAAACTGCATTCTTGAACTGTGATTTAGAGGAAGATATTTGCATGCAACAACCCGAAGGTTTCATTATCCCTGGACAAGAAAGAAAGGTTTGTCGCTTAGTAAAATCTATTTATGGGTTTAAGCAAGCCCCCAAACAATGGCATGACAAATTTGATAGTGTAATGTTATCAAATGGATTTAAAATCAACGAGGCTGACAAATGTGTGTATGTGAAAGGCAATCAAAATGACTCCGTCATAGTTTGTCTATACGTAGATGATATGCTCATTTTTGGTAGTAACAATAATTTGATAAAGGCTACCAAAAGTATGTTGGCTAGGAAATTTGAAATGAAGGATCTTGGTGTCACTGATGTAATTCTAGGAATTAAAATCACTAGAACATCTGAAGGGTTGATATTATCTCAATCACACTACATTGAGAAAATGCTCGAGAGATTCAAGAAGTATGATATCAAACCCATGAGAACTCCTTTTGATTGCAGTGTTCACCTCAGCAAAAACAGAGGAGAAAGTGTATCACCAGATGACTATCCTCGGGTCATATGACCCGATATAGCTCAGGCTGTGAATAAGCTAAGCCGGTTTTCAATAAATCCCGGTAGAGAACACTGGAAAGCGCTTATAAGGGTGTTTGGATATTTGATGTATACCAAAGACTACGATTTGGACTTTCAAAGATACACAGTCGTGCTTGAGGGATATACCGATGCAAATTGGACATATGATTCCAAGGACACAAAATCAACGAGTGGATATGTGTTTACCCTTGGAAGTGGTGTTGTGTCGTGGAAATCTTCCAAACAAACATGTATTGTAAGATCTACCATGGAAACCGAATTCATTGCCTTAGATAAGGCTGGGGAGGAAGCTGAATGGTTGAGAGAGTTTTTGGAAGATATTCCTTGTTCGGAAAAGCATGTCCCTCCAATATCCGTTCATTGTGAAAGTCAAGCCGCAATTGGAAGGGCAAAGAATACAGTTTATAACGGTAAGTCTAGACACATCCGTCGTAGACATAATACCGTTAGAAAACTAATTAAAAATGGGATCATCTCTCTTGACTATGTTAAGTCGAAAGAAAATATTGTGGAGCCGCTAACCAAACCTCTACCGAGAGAGTTGGTCGAGACGTCAAGGAGAGCGATGGGCCTACGGCCAATGATCCAATAAAAGTCCATGGGGAAACCCTACCTATTATCGAGAGTGCCTCATAATTAGGTTCAAAGGGAAAACACAACTATGGACTGGCTCGGGCGGTACTAACCAAGATATAGTACACTCATGCCAAGAGCATTTAGGGTAAGTTACGCTTTTAATGATCTCTATATCTTGATTCATTCAAGTAAGGTATGGCATGATACCTTCCATAGAGATCACCTATGCTTGTGGAAGAAGGTCGATTCTATGAGAGTTTATGGCACGAGATAAATTCTCCGGTGCACGATAAACTCTCGAAAACACTAGCTGAACCAGGAGGTGTTCAAGGCCGAAACGAACACAAACGTGAGAACCAAAGATGCACCCGGGGCTCTGTGTGTTATTCATTGTCTAGGTTTACACAATGGCTGACGGTTCAAAGCAAAGTGCTACCGATTGTCCAGTAAATCCGATGGATATACACTAAGGTAGGTTCAAAGTTTCACGACTACCTAACCCTATGCAGAGTTCCCATCTTCCCATGTCAAATTCCAATTTGTTTCATGTCTTTAAGCCAATTTCCCATTCATGCGGGGGGATTGTTGGAAAAATGGTTTTACAAATTAATATTACTAATATTATTTGTGAAAAAACCATTTTGAAATGAATGAGAAATTGTTCCCCGAAAGATAAGCGTGAATTATAGGTCATGAACTTTCTTTCAATAGGTGTCTTTTGGGTTAGGGACTCCTGGCCAGAGCTCTATAAATACCCGCCTTGTCTTCGATTTTGGATCATCCAAAAATCATCACACAGTCCTCCATATACTATCTTCCTTCGTTGCATCTTTGAGTTCGTCGGAATCCCGGTGGGAGCGAAGAACCGTTCTATCCTCGGAGACGATTGCTACGTGTGTCAGGCAAAAACGTCTTAAGGAAACAACGTTAAAGTTGGGCTCGGTTACAAGTAATCTTACGTTTTTCCTTATTTATTTATTCCTTATTTCATTCGCATGCAAAATTTTGTACATTCATAAACAAGGTGAATGGCCACATATTATATAAAACAACTTGATGTCAGGGTTGGTGCTGGGAGGACACTGACCATCCATAGCTTCTGCTCGATGACAGAATTCCCAATTCGTTTTAAATTTTTTATTTTCTTTGTTTTTTGAGCTCATGTGCTTATTATAGCACGTGGTTCTTCGAAATAGAACAAGACAATTGAGAAAACTTTTTTTTAATTTGAGGCTTCATCTTACATTGTTTCTACTACATGATATTTATAATAGACAATAGGCTAGCTGAAGAGGCAACGTTTGCATCTTAAATAACGGACAAATTATTATTGGGCTTTTTCCTTCGATATAACTAAATTAGAACTAATTTTCACAAATATGACCATTTTTTCAAAAGGACAAAAATGTGACTAATAAGGTCATATATTTGGAAAACGTGATGTCACTGTCAGATTTTTATGTCACTTTTGAATGTCACTAACGATTTTCATGTCACTTTCGGATGTCACTGAAGTCGTGAACATGTTACTGTGCTGGTGGAAAATTTTCCGATGCCTTTTTCCCGTTCGCCACGCCGCCGCCGCTAACACCAGGACCGTCACCCTCCCAACCCCAATCATGTCCGGCTAACAGTGACAACACCAATTCATCCCCGCCCCGCCACCTACCGCTGCCGTCACACCATTTTGGTCACCACCGCGACACTCCGGCCGCTGCCATCTGGCCCATTACCGCCGTCATTGACAACTTCTACACTACCCTCTCCAGCCCCTAGCCCCCCTCCCCCATCCCCTTCTTACTTTCCCCTGACCATAATCCCGTCCCAAGTCACAAATCTGGACGGTAGTGCGTAGGTAGAGGGCGGGGAGAGGACCGTGAAGACTGTGGCGGCGGCTCTATTCGTGGAGGGCGATGGCAGCGACTCTATCCTTGGAGGCCGGTGATGGCGGAGGCTCTGCCCGTAGAGGGCGATGGCGGCGGCTCTGTACGCAAAAAGCGATGACGGCAGCTCTGTACGCAGAGAGCAATGGCAGCGGCTCTGTACGCACGCGGAAGGAGTGGGGAGATGGTGTTATGGTCCCAGCAACAATCCGCTCCTAGGGAGTCTACGAACGGAAAGAAAACCCCTTCTGGGGAGTTACTTGGTCGACGATTGAAGAAAAAATAAAAAAGGTAGGCGATGGGTTTAAATGTTTAATGGGTGACTTTTTTGACTAATTCAATTTTGGTCATATTTATGTCCAATGAAAGTTGAGAGGTAATAATTGTGCAATTCTTTCTATTTATTATTATTTAACGGTATGACCAATATCCACACTTTCTGGGTTCAATTTGACATTTTGACCAAGACAACAAATCTTATTTGAGGTGTGAGTAAGTTGGAGAACTGGATTCATATGTATAGTAATATCACAATGGACTGAATGAATTGATTTCATGTGTCAAGTAAGCTTTGCCCAATTTATGTGGCACCTTTGATGTTTTGCCAGTTTGACACATAATTCCTGCAATCAATTAATTATTACACATCCTAGAAGAATATAATTCATTGACATTTTAATACATGTTTAGTTTTTAGGGGATTTGTATAGGGAGGTGGTATTTTTAGTTTGAATGAACAGACATATCTTGTTGAAATAAATCATCCAATCGTTGTGGTTTGGATCAATGTACATATACCAGACACATAGTAGGGGTTACTATCATAAAATTGATAACCAGATGCAACATGTACACAATGCAACAACATTTCATGCAATCTTGTTTCTGCACTAGATAACTGTCCCAAATCTGCCCGGTCGGTTCTGGGGGACCTCAGACATGTGGCATCATCCTTTTTTTGTTTACGCACTAGATGTGAGTCACAACAATGCATGTTGTGACGTCACTGGAGTCGTGTCGTCAATATATTTTCTTTACATCGCTGAACAGATGGCTTATTTAAAATATGCCCAGACATTTGTTATAAGCTTAGATATCAAACCATAGTTGACTGAACAACCATGGTTCATAGAGGCTCACACTCAAAATTTGTATGTTTGAGCATTGGTCCAGGTTTCAACAACTTGGGTACAATCACATTATTCCTTATATAACATACCACCGGGTTATCCCACTGCAGGAATGCTCCCACGAGATATGCATATATGGTTAGCGGGAAAACACGGGGCCACCTTTCCCTTTCATACTCTCTAAGTGATTCTTGAACTGAAACATTCTTGGATGTGATTGCCCCCGCCAGTTTCTTGGATAGAACAATGGCATCCTCGAGCGCACAACACGCCCCCTGCCCAAGATTTGGTGTCATCGGGTGCCACGCGTCGCCAACTAGAACGGCCCCACCGGAAGATGCGGGAGGACTTATCAATGGCCACAACCATCGGTCAAATAGTGGAGTTCGTACAAGGGACTCGTTTGGGGTGTGGTCGATGATGTCTAGTAGCTGCGGTGACCAACTTCTGGTTAGTTCTTGCACCTGCTGCCTCAAAAACTGTGGATCTCCTATCTTTGTACCTGTCAGTTGTAGATATATTATAACCCTACTGCAATGCAATGTTGACTTTAAACTATTTGTGAAGAGTTCCCGGAGGCAAAATGCTCCAATTAAAGTGTGAAGTTTTCTAATTACAAAAATCTTGTAACTTTCCCACCAGGTCTAGAATGTATAAACAAACATTTTTCACATATCTGTTTTTTAATGTAAAATTGAACCGAACAAATCAAAAGTTTTCCACTTGTATGTAGGATTGGGGGAGGGTAATATGTATGGCATATACCTTATCTCAACCTTAAAAAGCCTACATGATATAAGAGAGAGCACTATCGGTTGGCAATAAATGAAAGTGATAACTAACCAAGGCACATAAGAAATACTAGAAATCATTTAGGCAAGCAATCACGCAAAACATACAAATAAACACTTAAACAACAATGAAAAGTGGGGGGGGGGGGGAGCTTTGACAATAATGAATGCCCCAAAAACCTACCAGGTTTCCGCTACTTAATTAGGTGGCTTGTTTCTAATACTCACTCTTAAAGTTTGGGAGGCCTTAGAGAATGGTGAAGGATCCACCACTTGATGGTGCATTGATCTAACAATTGCATTTTTTTATTAGGTGACCATAAAAGGCCATCACTTGACAAATAGCTAGAACAATACAACGCAAGCATATACCTGGTGATGGGCTGTTGAAGACGACAAACCAATAGATTTTGCTCTTAGACATGGGCACAAAACCAGCACGCACCCCTCTTCCGTATGTGTATTGTACTTTCTGGTCAAAGGGAAGTCCTTCAGGGTACAATCCTATCCCTCGAAAGCACATGTGGCCTGCATATTTCGGCTCTGAAAACCCCATCCACTTTGCCACTCTAGACCGGATCCCATCACAACCAATCACTACCTGTGTGTTAATAACATACAAGTCCGATTAATTGAATGCCTCAACTAATTCAATCCATGAATTAATGGTCCAGATCCTAATTATGGTACAACCATTCTACTAACTTCTGGAGACAAAATACCTTGGCAGACAAATGGGAGCTGTCTTCAAGCTCCAACAGCATTTCACTGGTTTCACTGGTTTCAATAATCTTTGAGAGGCCTGAAGAGAAGGAAATGGCATCTGAAGGCAGCTCATTAGCTAGTGATTCTAGCACTACTCTCCTCTCCACAGCGCGCACCTCTTGGCTGCTCACTCCCATAATTAATGAAACATACACGATATATATCAAAGAGAACCTACATTAACCAACCTACTTATGTTACTACCTTGGGTCCTCTTCTTTGAATGAGAAAGAGCGCAAATTCCTTCCATCTTCTGACTTTATTACTACCCTGCAATAAAGATCAATTATATAAAAGAAGCACTTCTGTTTTTCATTATCTTCATTGTACCTGAACGTGAACCTACTGTTTAAGGAGCATGCAAAACGGACTAAGGTAGGGGAAGCTACTAGTTATTTTGTGTTCCATTTTTACGTTGGAAAGTATGAAATAGAGTGTGACATTTGATCTTAACTTTCTAAATGTCGACAAATGTTTACATTTATTAGTCTCTCTGCAATGCCAATATACAAAAATAAACCGTTGGAGCGAGTTTCTGGATTTGACTTGGAACCTTTTTCAAAAATAATTTCTTCTCATGTTTTCTTTGCTTGCAATTCACCAAGCCCCAAGCCTGTGTGGCCCTGCTCGGGCGCCACTACGTCCTTGGATGATTCATATTGGCAACCATGGAGCTCGTGGTCGGGAGACTCGATTTAGTTGGCCGGAAAACAAGAATTTTGGCAAGAAGCGCACATTTAATGCACTAGATATGCAAGATTTTATGGTTGGGGATTAGCCACTCAAGGTCCTTCACATCAATACTACCACCTACCACATGGTAATATAAATAGTACTACCTCCGTCCCGGTAGACTTTGCCAAGTGCAAAGTAGGTGAGAAATAAGAAAAGTAAAAACAGTGTGGTTGAAATTTGGGCAGAGAAGAGAAAAATGTGCAGAACCACAAATTAGTTACTTTAATAAGAAAGTGCCAAAGTTTTTTGGGACAAGTAAAAACGGAAAGTTGTCAAAGTCCAATGGGACGGAGGGAGTAACATTTATTTCATTGTTAGGAGTTGACAACTTGTATTCTCTAGTTATAGCCTTTCTCTCTACTTCTCCTGTAATCGCAGCTTAGATTAGAGGCTCAACACTCAGATTGGTATGGTAGGGTGTGTTATAATCGTTCTAAGTACTTAATAGAACTCGACCCACTTACCTTTCCTACTCCTTCTTGCTAGTATTTGTGCCTCGAAACAGTTAACTAATCCACCCAAATACATCCAAATCATCACTAAAATATCCTACGAAAGCCCAAGGGAAGGTGTTGGACCCTTGTACTTAGAGGAATAAATCTCAACGACTCAAAAAACTTGTCTTAAATAGATTCAAGTGCTAAAATTAAGATCTCATGATTAAAATATTTTTTGCATCTTTTAGTTATTTTTAAATCATATTTATTCACAAATATTTGTAAAAATGATGTATAATAATAAAAGTAAGGCTTTAATTAAAAAAAACTTTGCTCGGTGAATATATTGACGGTACTGGATTGTTGTAAAAAACTGAATTGACTAGTGAATACATATAAACAGATGAGAAATTTGATTTATTGACGGAACTGGATTGCATTTAGCCTTGGTCAAGAGAAACGTTAACTATTTTATGCATATTTTTGGACTGCGTTTTTATGCATATTTTTGTGCAGTGTTTTTCAACACTTTATTTAAGTTAGTTCCCGATTTGAACGTCTTGATGAAATTTGGTGTAAATGTTCTACGCTTCATAAATAACATGCTTACAACATTTCATAAAAAATTTGACCCGAAAGGCCCTCAAATGGGCTTGGCCCGTTGGCCGCACAACGGTTCTGGTCAGTTCGGACCGATCAGAATATTACTCGTAAAAGAAATAAGTAAAACGAGTTGAAAAATGATAAAGTACTTCTTAGAATGTGTTAAATTTAAGAAAATGATCATAATTTAGGAAGGTGGAAAAGAAAAAGGGAATTGTAATAAAATTTAACTTTTTATAACCTAAATATTATTAAATTCTAAATAATGTCACCCATTTTCTGTGGTGATAATCCATGTCATAACACATTGAAAATTTATCCTAACACTAGTATATTTTAGTAGTCTTGTCATGATGATTTATTTTCAAAATAAAACCAAAAAGTACATCTTTACATAGAATGCAAATAATTAAAAATAACTATCATATTTTGTGTTTAGTTTTTACAAATTTTGAAACATTAATCATAAAGAATATTAGTGGTAAGTAAAAAATATAAAACGTATAAATAAAAAGACCAAAAATATTTGTGTGCCATTTCTATTTAAATGAAATAATAAAAATAATTTATTACTAGATGCGTGTGAATTATGTGTGATTTCCATATGTGTAACGGAAATATAAAAATATGAAATTTGTATTCGTTGAGATAATGATTTATTAAATAAAGTCGTGAAAATCTCCGATGTTTGAAATTTTCATATTTATACATTTATATCATGGATATGAAGACTTGTAGTTAAAAAATTCAGACATTAGGAATCTATGCTTTAATATAATACTAGGTATATTTTTGCCAGAAGTTTTAGTACATCAATTGCTAAGAATATTTTTGTGAATAAACAATATTGTAAAACACACACACCTGCATAACTGAAACAAAAAACAAATACTTTTCATTCTCAAGTAATAATACAAGTTTCTTTTAATGACTGTATAGTCAATAGTGATTCTTTTCATGTGCAACTAACTTTACATTTTGCAATTTGTCATTATATTCGTAATCGACAGAATAGAAGTGAATGAAAGGAGATCTTTTAAAGTGAATTTCGACCTTTTACTTGACATACTAAGAAATTAGTGATTTTTCAATTAAGATGCAATTTATTATAACTAGTCTTGATATTTTATTAAAAGTTATGTTTATCAACTATCCAAGAGATGTTGAAAACAAACACCGGAAAGTCTTCGAGATCATTGTTGGTGTATTAAAACAAAATATCACGGAGTACCATTTAAAAATATACAAAGTATATGTTGTTAAAATATGCAAGATATAAACTTGGTACTTAATAAACTCTCTATTTGAGTTGTTTTTTCAAAAATATTACTGAACCAAAATCTATTTACAAAAATATGACTAATCATACTACAATTTCATTAGTCATTTAAGTGTAATAATTAAACATAAGTTACTATAACTAAGTTACTACTATAATCGTTATACATATGAGGTCATATTTTGTAAAGAGTTCTTTCCACTTTTAGTCCCCGACTATTATGTTATTGACACTTTTGGTACTTGACTTTGTTTTTTCCATTTTTAGTCTTTGACTATTGCGCTAGAGACACTTTTGGTACCCGTATTTGAATATTTCCATATTTAGTCCTTCGACTTTCATAAAAGTGACACTTTTGGTCCTTCAACTATTATAATAGTGACATTTTTAGTCCTCCACTTATTGTGTCAAAATCATAATGAGAGGACTAAAAGTGTCGATTTGACAATACTCAGGGACTAAATGTGGGAAATCTTGAAGTCAAGGACTAAAAGTGTCTCTAGCACAATAGTCGAGGACTAAAAATGGAAAAATTAGAAATCGAGTACCAAAAGTGTCATTGACATAATAGTCGGGGGACCAAAAGTGGAAAAAACTCTTTTGTAAACAACATTTAATTTTAATTACATTTATGTAATTATTTCTTATAAGAATCCTATATCATGTATTGAATTTTTATAGAAAAATTACATACAAACTACAAATTATTTAATAGTCAAATTCAACTTGATTTATCATTTGTGCCTCACACAAGTCAGTTAATTAACTACTCCCTCCGTTCCCAAAAATACTTCCCACTTTCCTTTTTGGACCGTTCCCAAAAATACTTCCCACTTTCACGTTCTGGACAATTTGTGTGGCTCACATTCATTTTACCTTTTCCTTACACAACTACAACCATACATTTCCACTTTATTTCACTTTCTTAATAAGCGTGCCAAGTCAAACCGGGAAGAATTTTTAGGAACGGAGGTAGTACTATATATACATGGGCACTCAGGCAGTGGCATATTTTTTACATAAACCTTTACACAAATTGTTTTAGAAATAAGGACAAAATTATTAGTTATAGTTTTATGAAAAACAAAAAAAGTGATTACTTATCCATTTTAAAAAATATGACTAACTTTTTGTGTAATTAATTCAATTTTTTCATTTTAACTAGTATAGTACTCGTGCATACGCACGGGAAAGAACGGTCGGTGCGTATATTTTTACTCATTATCTAATTAAATATTAAAATAAAATAACTTTAATTTTTAGGATTCTACATTTTCGAAAAATAAAAGTACAATAACCTAATACCATAAAATTTAAATTCATACGATAAATATTCAATGAAGAGTATATTAGGAAAAATTAATTAAACACCACTCATTAGAATTTGCTACTTATTAATTTTCATGATTAAATCAATTTTAAAATTAAATACTATTCTAAAAAAGTTAATACAATAATTATTAAAATTAATGAATACTACATCCGTCCCAAATTGATTTGCAAATTTGACTTTTCTTGGTCAAACAGTTTCATTTAATTTGCTTAATTAGGATGTCAATATTTTATTATATTCTAATTTGGAGTTTGCAACTTTGAAGAGATTTCAATGTAGTTTCTGAATATGTAAATTTTAATTATTAAATTAAGTTAATTGTCGATAGGGATGATTGACTTTTATTATTGATAGACAAAAAAATGTTGACTTTGCAAAACAATTTGGGACGGAGGGAGTACTACGTATTAGTTATATAAGAACTTGCTACTCATTAGTTAAATTAGTGCTAGCATATGAGAGGAATATTATCGTACCCAATTCTTATTCGGCTTATCTGATATAAAAAGGAACTACATATGGGAGAAAATTCTCTCACCCAATTGCTAGTTAGCCGGATTAACTTATATACATAAAAGCACTACGTATGAGAGAAAATTCAACTGCTTAGTTGTTAGCCAACTTATTTTATACTCAAAAGAACTACATATATGAGAATTCTCAGCTCAATTGTTAGCAAGTTTATCTTCTAATAATACCTAAAAGCACTACATATTAGAGAGAAAATTCTCCCGTTCAATTGTTAGTCGGCTTATGGTATTATACCTAAAAGCACTACATATAGGCGAGAAAATTTTCCCACTTACTTAACAAGAACTACATATGAGAGAGAAAGTTTATCCCCTCAATTATTAGCATACTTAGAGCATCTCCAATGGGAGGG